GGAGGAGGGCTGGGAAGCTAGGGGGTGAGGGGACCGGATTGGGGGGGGTGATGAGTACAAGGAGGGGACCCTGGGTGCTGGTTGGGAGGAAGGTGCAGGGCAGGGTCCCCCTGTGCGGGCTGGGTTGGGGTCGCAGCGTGAGTGTATGTGCGTGTTTCGGGGGAAGCGTGTGGTCTGGTGACCCACCCAGCTGGTGGGCAGGATCAGGCAGGCTCAGAGTGGTGGGGTGTTTGCGGGGAGTCTGAGGATCAATTGCCTTGGTACCTTGGGGGACAGGGAGGTTCTGGGGCTTGGGAGGGGTGTGGGGCTGGGCATCTGCCTCAGGGAGGGTAGACTGGCACAGAGTGGGGCAGGATCTGGGTGCGGGGCGTGGCAGGTGCAGAGTGGGAGCCAGGACATGGGGGAACAGATCTGGGGATCCCACCTCAGGCTGGGGGGGGGCAGGGGCCAGGGGCAGGGATCCCCTGGCTGAAGCTGGTGGGCAGGCGGGGCCGGGGGTGACCGCACGGCGGCCCTAGGGCCTCGCACCCCGGCCGCACCCAGCCGCAGGCGCCGGCTGCTCCTTCCCTGCCAGATCGCCGGCGTGGAGCAGGTGGTGTTCGTGCAGAGGAATGTCCTGAACTGGAAGGAGCGGACGCTCCTCATCGAGGCCCACAATGAGACCTTTGCAAGCCGCGTGGTGGTCAGGGAGAACTGTAGCTACACGGTGAGCACCCCCGCATCAGGCATCTGGGGGTGAGCCACCCCCGGGCCCCCACATGGAGCATCGCTTCAACCGCCTCCCTCCCGGGCAGTCAGATGAGAGAGGAGCAAAAGACAGCGGCAGCTCCGACAGACGCCTGCTCTACGCACCCACATGCCACACGTGTTCCTGGACATGCTATAGCCGTGTCCTTGTTTGTTGCAGTCCACCCGGGACTTGTGCCTGGTTTCGTTGCTAACCCTAGCGCCCCTGCCTTGACCGTCCCTCTGCTCTTTTCCTTCCTTCATGAGACTTGCCTCAGTTTCTTCACCTGTATCATGGGCCAGGGAGCCTAGCTGCCATAGGCTGTGGTGAGCCAGAGCAGCACGTCCAGCGCCTTCAGCTAGTGCCGGCACGCCCTCGGGCCCGTGCAGCTTCCCTTGGGGCCCATCAGCGGTCAGAGTCATCTTCAGGGCATGCTAACAGAGCACCCCTGTGTGCCAGGCCCGCTGACAGAGCGTGACACCCAGTGGTGGGCCAGCCTGCCTGCCGGGTGCCCTCACGGAGCCCACGATTTGAGGGGACAGGAGCACAGCTATCAGACCCACCTTCTGTGGCCGCTCAGGGGGACTTGTCCTCTGGGGTGGGGCTCCATCCAGCGGGGGGCAAGCTGGCTGGCCCCGCTCACCAGGAGAGTCCTGGGGGCCGGCACCCCTCATGCTGAGACCCGGCCGCTATCCTTCCCTGGCTTTCAGGTCCACCCTGAGAATGAAGAGTGGACTTGCTTTGAGCAGTCCGCCTCGCTGGACATCCGGTCCTTCTTTGGCTTTGAAAGTGCCTTGGAGAAGATCGCCATGAAGCAGTATACAGCCAACATCAAGAGGGTGAGGGGCTCCGCGGGGCGCCAGTGGGTGCACGCTGCTCCCGGGCGACGGGGCTCTGCCACCGAGCTCAGGCGACTCGGGCAAGCTCCTTAGCCGCCCCGCCTCGGTCTCATCCGCACCACGGATGCTCTCATCAGTCACGTGGGACTGCGGGGGGCTCCCGCCCCGTAACGGGGCCGCCACGGTCATTGTCCCCATGCTCCCTGACCTCGAGGTCTTGTGTGGTGAGCGCCCTGGACAGAGGAGGGACGTCCTGGGGGCTGTGCCTGGTTACAGTGCTCCTTGGTTTGAAGATCTCAGGCCCATCACAGTCTTTGTGGGGGACATGAACTTGAACACTGTATTCTATCTACATGGCACCAACATACAATTTATTTGTGGCTGGTTTTTGTTTGAGATTCTTTGTCCTGGATCCTGGGGGAGCTGGACGCTGTCGGCCCACCTGCACTGGGAGTGGCCGCGTGTGGGTAGTGGCCGTGGGCTGGGGCGACTTCCAGGCTGGAGAGCGGTGCTGCTGGTCCTGACACATCGGGCTTCTCTGGCTTCCAGGGGAAGGAGGTGATTGAGCATTACCTGCACGAGCTCATTTCCCAGGGCGTCTCCCACATCCCCCGGTGGGTGCCTGCCCCCGTCGGAGAGGAGGATGCCCGCTCCCAGGCTGGGCCGAGGGACACCCACTCCGTGGAGGCTGCTGAACCCAGCAGAGGCCGGGGCCCGGTGCCTGAAGCTACCTGCAGTGAGGGTAGGTGTCACGGCGGG